TAAGGATGAAGAAAAAATATTATTCATGGGAGGAGTGCATGAGTTTAAGGGAAGTCAAAGTGAGTATCATTTGTCTCAACCCTTTCCTATTCGTTAGACTAGTTTTATAATAGTTTTATAATAGTTTTGCTCCACTTTTACTAATTGTCGATAAATATTCACTTTCGGCACTGACCCACAATTTTGCTCATATTTTATTCAATATTGACATTATTAGAGAATATTTTGGTTTAAATTAAATTTATTTTGTTTGTTTTTCATTATTCTGTACGCTTTGAAATGTAATGATTGCTATAATGTTAGTCTCTAATCTTAAACTGGTATTTTATTTATAAAGTGTTTTGATATTTATCTTAAAGTAATGTTCATAATATATATGACAATACAATAGGAATTATCCCAATAATAGTTAAGTGATATCTTCTTGAGTAAAGTAATACAAATTGACTCCAATGTTATTAGCGATGAGTTGTTGCCATTGGAGACATTACTGTATTATTCAAACATTGTTTTGTTAACTTTTATAAAACCTAATCTGAATTTTTATGAATTCTACACCAAAAATACATTTGCTCTTTAATGTGATGAAAAGCCTTCTCTGGTCTTGAAAATGACAAAACGTTAATTAAATGACAACCGCTAATCACTATTATTTTATCAGTTTTACATAACTTCTTATTAGATATTCTATGATTGATTTCTGCCTAACATAGTTCACTATTATTGAATTAATTAGAAATATAATTATAATTATAATTATAATAAAATTATTTGTCAGAAAATAATTGAAAAAACAATACATTAGTTGATATAATTAGTGACAATATTATTTGAAATGTTGAATAATGTAAACAAAATTGAACAATTAAATGAAAAACAATTTAATTATAAAATATTGTATTAATATATACAAATGGATAATGAAAAAGGCACAGACAATGTAATTATGTGCGATGATGACCTTACTTAACCCTATATACTATTTACACAGTAGAATTTGTTTTATAAAATAATCTTAAAAGTAATAATGCTTAATTATAATAATTAGTAGTTAGAACAATTATTAGTTAGAATTCTTATATTTTATTGATCATATTCTTATATTTATACGTAAAAATTCATAAATGTAATTACAATTTAAATATTCTTAATTTATGTAGAATATTATTTTGTTTTAAGCAATTATTCTTTGAAAAATTTATTTTATTTTAGTTTATATTTTTAGTTTTTATTATAACAATAATATTAATAAACTGAATGAATAAATAATCATATTTATTTTATATAAAATAATATCGAAATTTTAGTTTTATGTTTTAATATATAGAAATTTTAAATTGTACCGTAGTATTTCTTTTAATTTTTTTTAAATGAATGCCAGTGGTTTATTATTAAGTAATATCAATAAATAATAATAAATTAAAGTTTGCAATTATATGAAAAAGTAGTCAATTAATATAATTTAAATGTGTTTTTACTCCATAATATGAACAGTCGCTGCAAAAGCTCAGTCACGCAAACCTCATAAAACTAAAAGAAGTTATTCGTGAAGACAATACATTATATTTTGTTTTTGAATATATGAAAGAAAATTTATACCAATTGATAAAAGACAGGTATTCTAAGAAAATGTTACAATAGTTTATTGATTACAATCTCATTTCCAGGGAAAAGCCATTCGCTGAGCCTATTATTAGGAATATTCTGTTCCAAATATTACAGGGCCTGTCGTTTATGCACAAACACGGCTTCTTTCATAGAGATATAAAACCAGAAAATCTTTTATGTATGGGTCCGGAGCTGATCAAAATAGCCGACTTTGGTCTGGCCCGTGAAATACGGTCTCGACCCCCATATACTGACTATGTGTCTACCCGTTGGTATCGGGCCCCAGAAGTGCTCCTTCGCTCAACAAATTATAGCTCTCCCATCGATATGTGGGCCGTGGGTTGCATTATGGCTGAGTTGTATACATTGCAACCCCTCTTCCCCGGCAGGAGTGAAATCGATCAGATATTTCGCTGCAGTTCTGTATTGGGAACACCCGATCGGGTAATCATTTTTTNTTATAGCTCTCCCATCGATATGTGGGCCGTGGGTTGCATTATGGCTGAGTTGTATACATTGCAACCCCTCTTCCCCGGCAGGAGTGAAATCGATCAGATATTTCGCTGCAGTTCTGTATTGGGAACACCCGATCGGGTAATCATTTTTTGCTTTTCATTTCGTATATTTCCGATGCATATCAATTACAAGCCATGATTAATTGTCATAGAGTTAACCCTAACCTTCAAACTTCTCTCTTCCGTTTAATTATATTTTTTTACTCAAATTTAGTTGTAATTAAATAGAAATATATCTATATATATATATATAGATATATATATATATATAGAAATATATATTCGTCAGTAAGACTTCACGTGATACACAATTACTAAATCCAATTATTGTCATTGAATTTATTCTCATAGGCTTAACGCAGACTAAATTTATGTTTTTTTATTTATTGTTAAAATTAATTTTTATGATTGGGCCGTGGGTTGCATTATGGCTGAGTTGTATACATTGCAACCCCTCTTCCCCGGCAGGAGTGAAATCGATCAGATATTTCGCTGCAGTTCTGTATTGGGAACACCCGATCGGGTAATCATTTTTTTCTTTTCATTTCGTATATTTCCATGCATATCAATTACAAGCCATGATTAATAGTCATTGAGTTAACCCTAACCTTCAAACTTCTCTCTTCCGTTTAATTATATTTTTTTACTCAAATTTTGTTGTAATTAAATAGAAATATATGGATTTCGTCAGTAAGACTTCACGTGATACACAATTACTAAATCCAATTATTGTCATTGAATTTATTCTCATAGGCTTAACGCAGACTAAATTTATGTTTTTTTATTTATTGTTAAAATTAATTTTTATGATAAAAAATAATTTAATAGTTGGAAAGGATATGATTGGGTGTGGATTTATTTATAATTAGAATATTAATTTAAAAAATCAGCCATTTACAGATCTCACACCGATGTCATTGAAAATTCTTATGAAAGTTTTATTTTCATACAACTCTTTACTTACAAATAAAATATAAATAATTTTAAAAATAAATTTTTTAAATCAAACTGAAATGAAATAAATAAATTCTTAGAATTTTTAAATGGTAAAAACATTTTATACCTTAAGGTAATGTCCCAATGAATAATTAAGAGCTTATAAAAAAACAAAGCAATATAAAAAAGTTTATATAATTTCTATACAAGCATTTTAAAATTCAATTGCATTGAATAACTTAAACGATTATACAGTATATTTTTGCATAAATATGTAGTACCATAATACAAGTATGATTCATTTTTGGTATAAGTTTTCAAAAGTAATAATATCTTTAAAATGATTAACAGCGCGATTGGCCCGAAGGCTATCAATTGGCAAATGCCATGAATTTCCGATTCCCTCAGTTCAGTACAATGCCATTGGACTCAATCGTAACCAACAGTCACGCCGATGGGATCGCCCTCTTAGAAGATATGCTCCGTTGGAACCCATCTCGTCGTCCCAATGCTGTCCAGTCTTTGAAGTATAACTATTTCAAAGTAAACCAAAAACTGGGTCCACAACACATCAACAATTTGATCACAAAGTCTACATTTAACCAAAATAACAGTTCAAATAATAGTTTTGTAGATAAAAATCTTTCAAATGTCAACCAAATTGAGAGCAATTTGAATGGAAAGCTCATCAAATATGAATTAAACGAATCTCCAAATGTAGACAATAATAGTATTCAACAATTGCAACAACAGATCGGATCGCATGCATCCCGAAACAGTTCCAACAACTCTATGCTTAAGTCCGGACTTTCCGTCAAAGAGCAGTATTTGGCCCGATCTCGGTATGTGGCCGGACAGGCAGTCAACAATGCTTCCTATCGCAACTCAGGTTAACTATATCTACTGTACTCTCGGCTATTAGGTTATTGCAGTTGTAGCAAATCAGTTATATTTTAATATAATCTAATATAATATTATTATTCTTATTAATTAGAAAATATAGTTTTTAATTAGAGATTATAGGTTTAACCGTATTAATCTTATATTATAGGAATGTAATAAGTTTAGTTTAAAAGTGAAATAATTACATTGACAAGTTAAAAATTCAGAGAAAACTTCAGCAATATGGTTAAATTGGCCATTTAATTATCATATACTTAATAGATAGACAAATTCATTATACTCTGACATGTGAGTGATTCTTATAACTTATAAGTTATAAGAATAATTTGAGAATAAATAAGCGAGAATACTCAAAATCTTTAAGCTTAATATTAATACTAATAATAATTTGTCATTTAAAGCATAATGAATTTAATAAAATATTGAAATTAATATAAATTATAATATGAAATATAAGTTAGTTTTTGATTTGATATTTAGCAGCAATTTATGGGAATGGGTTCGCGACTAATGCCAACAGAAGACAATCCTTAATATCGATACACTCGACCCAAAACGGAGGGCCTCTCATAGCAGCCAATGTGACTGGAAAGACAGACTGGGCGGCCAAGTATGTCACTTAAGCAACTTTGAAGTACTTTAAAATCTTGATCTAATTACTGGAAATCTCTCTTATTTAGATATTTACAATAATTTTTGTGAGTGATATTAACTTCAATTATTTGATTGACAATACGTTTGTAATAAACTGAAAGCTTTTAAATAAACGACAAATTGTTTTTGTTATTACTTTAGACTTTGTTTTGAAACACTTGGTCTGTGTATTGTGTACTCAACTTAAATGAGAAGATTAAGAACAAAACAAGTGTTGAATATTAAACTTTTGGGTGAAAAAAGTGATAAATTTTGAAACTTTGAAACATCTCTTGAATCATTAAATAATTTTACGATTTAACAAGTTTTTTCTCAATACCTTTACCGTCCATTGAAATATTAATAAAGCCAAAGGATGTCATGATTTCAAAGTCATACACAAAGACATTATTGCACTAAAATTCATGAAACAAGGATTGCCATAAGAAAATTCTACAAAATTAATTGCCTTTATTTATCAAAAATATAAAACCATTGCAATGACTGACTATGGAAAATAGCATTAATGATCAGACCATTAATTATTCAAAACGATTGAATAGATAGTAGACTTGGAGTGTAAGTGGTCCATCATATTTACATCCAATGTCGATGACTGTAATTCTGGTTATAGAGTTGTGAAACTAAATTATTTTGAACATTAAATAACAAATATAGTCCTCGAAGTGAAGGACTTTTTGGACGAAGTCAAAAGTCTTCAGAATATGTCCCCTAACAACACATTTAGTGTGAGGGTAGGCTTATATGAAATATATTTCATCAATTTGAAACTTATTCTGTTGATTAAATTTGAGTTTATTTTATGCTTGTTGTTTGTATTCTATGCATTCAATAGTTAAATATGAAGTTTATTTAAATTGAAACTCTTTTTAGAAAAGAAGAAAAGTTGACTCCAATTCTTGAACTGCAATCTCCCGATCAGATCCAGTCATAACCGGATAAATTTAGTGCTAATGTTGAGTCTCGCAAACCATTTGAGTAAACTTCAAACAAAACAGCTTTGCATCTGATTAGAAATTCAATTATTTAGTTATAAAAACAGTGAAATTTGATAATAAATAAATTATTTGTTATTCATATTCATTTTAAAATTAAATTACAAAATCTATATAAATATAGATTTAATTTAACTCTATTTTTAAACTAATATTTACATTATTTTAGTTAATTTATAATTAATTGGAACTATTATTTAATAATTATGTTTAGTTAAAGAATTTGAAATTAAAAATAGACTATTATTAAAAGGTATTAAATAATAGTTTTATATATTCTGTATATTAAATGAATAATAAGATTGTAATAATGATAATAAATCTACAATTATACTGTATAATGGACGTTTTATCAAACAATTTAATTAAAGTAATATTATTATTGTATTAAAGTCAAGAAAATTAGTTTCATTACATGTTATTAAATGTAATATATTAAATTTTATAAAATAATATATATATTTATAAATTTATTGAGCTTAAAATAAAAAATATCTTTTTTGTTACTTAATTATGAATTATTTAACAGATAAAGCTGATAAAATTGATTATATTATGAAATATATGATGTCATTTTAAACTATATCAGTGATAAAATATTTTTTCAGATTAGATACTAAAGAATAATAAAACATGTTTTGAAATATTTTGAGTCAAAACTAAAACTTTCGATGTCTAACTAATATTTATTTAATTATAAATTAAACAAAATTATAATTTTAGAGACAAAGAATAGTGTCTTATTTCACTTAAACTAAATGACCAAGTCTGTATACGTACGGTATGAGTGAGTTGAATATCAAATTCAAATCTCGGTTTAATTTATAATGATTTTTATTATAATTTTATTTGCTATTCAATAAAAGTCAAAAGTTTTCATATGTCATAACATAAGTGCAATAAATAAATAAATTCTCATTAAAATACTGTATGATAACAACCGCCAGAATAAACATATGACACTTATTTTGCAATGATATTTGTTATTGTCTTTTATACAAAAGCAAAGTATATTCAAACTTTGGTTTTTATTTGTTTGATATGATAATTATTTCAATTGCTTACATCCGTTCTCATGTGCAACATAATTAAAATTTCAAATATAATTTAAACTTTTAATTTTTATATTTAATTTTTATTATAGTAACTAATGATCCTTAATATTATTTTTATCCAAAAATGTTCTTATAATCATTAATAAGACCATAGTTTGGTTCATATTAAGTCTGTTATTAATCCATATTCTTAAAGAATTGGATGATTTGAGTCCACAGTTTGGGTTTCCAGTCATTTCCAGATATACCTGTATATTAATCATACATTTATTTAATGTTTTGGTTGAGAACAATGAAAAGTGAGGTCATTATTATGAAACAAATATCTGTGAGTGTATTGATACAGGTATTGAAGCGCTTGGATATCTACTTTCAAATTAAGACACAAAAAGCACTATTAAGCTCAATATGAAGTGATTTCGAAGAATAAGTGGAAAACGTATCTATAATTCATAATTCAGTACAGAATATGAAACTTTAATTCAACTCTTGTTGAGAGAGAAGTGTTGATTCGTGGGACGCCTTAATCTGATGTCCTTCTGTCGCCAATACTCCAACTCTGAGAGCAATACAAGAATATTGTAATAAAAGTTGTGTTGAGTGTAGACTACATATACAGCACCCGTACACCCAATCACTAGTTCTGTGACGCAATGCACATCAAAACGTCATACGATTCGTGAGGTTTGGCTATAAAAAGAGGAATAAATCCTTCGCTGAGAACACATTGTGTTGAAGTGTTTCATACAATACTTGATTCTGTGTAACGTATCCCATAGTACTCATTGCAGCCCTGGCTAACGGTTGCAATTTCTGTGATCTTATATTTTCACCATTTCGTCGATAAAAGATTCGAAAATTTCGGGGTGGGATTACTCTCATCAGGTATGTCCACCATGAAATATGTCTGTCCACAATCACCTACCCTTCCCTACTATTCCATATCATTCTTCATACCCTTTTCATGCGATGAATCACTTTTCAAACACAAGCCTAATATTTAGTGTAGTATTCGTTGAAACGCCGCTATTCTCTGCCATATACTGCATAACAGCCTTATATGACACCAATTATATGGCATTCACTCATCTCTTTAGCCATATTTTTGCTATTTTTAAAGTGTTTACGATTTATAATTATACTTTAATTTCATTTTTATTGATATTTCATAATGGTCGTTATGAGCAATCATAAAATATTGATATCTTTCTAATATTTAATTAAATAATGAGAATATTTGTATTGAAATACTATTCTAACATTAAGAGCATATAAACTCGAAATCACGAGTTATACAGTATTATCATATTATCATATCTATACAATTAGTACATCCTATCAATAGCCGAATTGAATGTTTTTATAAATAATTAATTTAGCGATAAATATACCGATAAACTACTTGCATAGTGTTTGTTCAGATATAATTATTGGGATTTTACCATCTACTTTAAATAAATGGTATTTTTGGCAAAATAAGTGCTAATAAATGAGATGTGATTGGAGTGCAAAACCCAATTACAATATCGTGGTTATAGTGGTAAACAGCACTAAACCAGTCATATCTGGTTATGAGTGAATTCTCTCTTGAACTCAAGTCCTAAACTGGATCTCTTGTATCAATGTTTGCAGTCCTGTCTGTACTCTGGAATCGAGACATGTTTCTCCATTCACTCACATATTCTGCTCAAACATCTACTCTGTATTACTGATCTTTCCTGCGAACCGACCAATGCTTGCAAACTATTTCTAGGAATTTGAGTGCATAGTAT